GCCCCGCCCCTCCCGGCCCCGCCGCCACGTGCGCAGGCGCAGTGCCGCCCTCCCAGGGGCCGAGGGGGGCGCTGCCCGCTCCTTTTAAGGTTAACCCGCTCGCAGCAGTGGTTCCGCCCACAGCTGGGCAGTTGCCACTCCTCCAGACCAATCAGCGCGCGGTCTGCATGTCCGGCCTCTGACCATTGGCTGAGAGGGGCTGGAGGGAGAAGTGCSCTGGCCAGTGAGCGCGCCCCGCCGCTGTTAGCGGGACGGGTCGCGGGGTACCGCCCGCCCTGGAGCGCGCCCTGGGCGCGTGCGCAGTAACGGCGGCCAACGGCTGCTCTGGGGGCGGGGGTCCGAGGAGGGAAAAAGCGGGATGGCCGGAGAAAGGGGAAGGGGTTTCCGGGGAAAAAGCGGGATAGCTGGAGAAAAGGGAAGGGGTTTCTAGGGGTCGCGTTGGCAGGGGCTCCTTGAGCCCGCGTGGTGGCTTCTTTCTAAGCTGAACTCCCGAGCCCGATGGTTATCTGGTTATACATCTAGAGGAGTGGAGGACCTCTAAGGAACTTGCTGTCTGAGGCTCATCGATCCTTTTCTGTTAGTATACGCATAGTAGTAGGATGCCTCTAGTAACCATCATAGGCTTAGACATCTGGTCTTTCTAAAGCACAGCGCTAATGCTAGTTTTCATTCCTTCRTCATTTGGAAAGCACTTTACAAATGCAAACCCGGGAAGATGGATTGTGTTGGATGTGCCACCGTTTCCCCTGCGAGAYGGGAGGGGAATGCCTTAGGGCGCAGTTCTCTATGGCACCTTCCTAGCAGAAGGAACAGTTCCTCCTTCCCGGGGAGGGGTCTGGGGCCTCAGGGGTGGCAGCTGGTCAGAAATGCTACTAGGAGTGCGATTTAGCTTTTGCTTTTCTAGTAATGTAGGGATTTAATTCTGGTATGTGGTAGCCAGATTATCTTTGAATGATATTCACACAACTCGGAGATGCAACTTGGAGAACTTCTGTTTATCCAGATTGCTCAGCGGCACAAGCGTTCCCCCAGATTTACAAGCCAGTGATAAACAGCTCCTTTTTAGTTGCAGAGATGTGCCCTGACTTCCACCAGCCCCGTATCTGCTGAGTGTGTGGTTATGGAGTGAGCTGTGATCCCTCGTGCCTCCCTGCCCGCAGAGCCACCAGCCTAGCTTCATAACGCACCATCACCGGCAAGCAAGGAAGGGCTTGCCAAGATCTAGTGCCTACAATTATTCCAACAGGCAGATACAGCATGAGTGCCTGTGCAAAGATGCTGCCACAAAAATATGTCTCTAGGGCAAATACAAAGTCTGTATTTGCTCCATTTATCCACGTGCTACCTCTGCCACAGGCACTAAATCACTTCCTGCTTAACAAACATACTCCCATTACTTGTTTTTGACAAAAGTGCATTTTTTACTATCATCTACTTAATCTTATTATCATATTATTGTGAAAACAGTTCAYGTATCAATCACACCTTCTACCTTGGTTAATGCTTTAGCAAACCCTTCATGTGAATGAAGGGTTCCTGTTAGTTGCAGGAACCCTTCATATGAGTTCATGCACTAATCAGTAGACTAGTGAGGCCTATATTGGATTTGTCRAAGAGAATCCTCTCAGTTCTTTTTAAAGCTGTTCAGCTCCTCAGCTGTTCAGCACTGTATATCATTTGGATGAGAATGAGCAGGAAAATAAGTATATATTGGTCACTATCCAAGTATCACGTCAGTCACTGATCTTGAAAASTTGGTCTTAATCTTTCCATTAGTGCTTATGAAGACTATGACAGTGCATTAACACTCTTTCCCCTCATTTATCCCCTACCTTTTTTCCCAATGCCTTCATTTCTCTCTGAACCCCATTAAACCCAAATATTGTTGTATTTTTTACCCCCTAGCTACATGCTGCATATTCTGACAGGCTGCTAAGTCAGCAGCTGAAGACATAACCAAGCTAACTGTAGGGCCTTTCCTAGAATGCCATTAATTTAGGTCTCTCTTTACTATGCAGCTGCTATTTTGGGATTCATGAAATAACTAGAAAACATCTTTGAAGACTGCCATATTTGTTCCAAATTTGATACTGGCTTTAAGTATTAGTAAAGCAAATGCATGAACTCTTTGGAGAGAAAGATGCACACAGACAGACATGCCTTCTGCTCTAAGGAAACCAAGTTAAATATATGGATTTTAAGGTAACAGAGATTCTTAGCTTGTCACTGTGCCTTAGCAACTCTTAACGTTTGATGCCTGCTTCACTCACGGTTCTTAGCTTCCCGTTGTGCTTGGTGACAGTGCAGGGTCTGTGACCCCTAGGTGCCATCCACCCACTTTGCACTTCCATCCACTAGCGAGGGCACAACTCCAGATGGAGATGCCCTTTAGCAGATCCTGTATTTCTGTTTGCAACATAATGCCTTTTTGCTGCCTAACTTGCTGTTGTAATTAAAGCCTTATCTTTCTCCTTCCACAGAAGCAAGATTTTCCATGAACTCAGGGAACCCGTCAACCTCACCAGAGTTCATGGCAGTATGATACACAGTATGATGTCTACATACAACCATCCCACACACCTGCTCAGGTACAGTGAGTGACCTGCCACTGCTGACATGGAATTAAGAAGGCAGAAAAGTGACTCTCAGCACTTGCTCCTCACAGGCTGCTCCAGGCTCTACCACGAGGAACAGCCAAGTTAGTGCTGAGATTAACAGCCTTCTACTAGAATACAACCTATGCTATATTGTCACCAAACATTTTAAACACATATTTATTAGTAACCCTTTATTAGTGTTGCTGTTGTTACTATGAAGAGTGGTCCGTGCGATGTATTTTCATTCATCTTGATTTTAATTAGGACTGCACAATAACTCTGTGGTTTTAGCTGACAAATAATTACACTAAATACTTCATTCTGATGCCTAGGACATTAAGCAACTGTGGGAAGGTCAGACATCCTCCTTTACTTTATGAACCTGCTGGTAACAGTTTTTCAGCCAAACTTCCTTTGTAAATTTAACTACTATTGGGTAATGTTCACCAGCAGGATTCATCCACAGTAAATTTTTTAGCAGATTAACTGTATATCTTCTCCTCTCTTTAGTTCATAACTAATCTAGACAAAAACATACAGTAGATATAATCCCATTCTTCTGTTACTCTGCTCATTTACTAGTTTTTACTATATAGTCCTACCACACAGGAAAGGCTTTTCAAAAATAACATTGTAGACCTTTTAATGCTTATTTTTAAATCCTCTTCTTTGAGGTACTTACTGTTTGTAAACATTTCCTAAACTAAATATGAATAAAGAATAAATAAAGAATAAAACTATATATTTAGGAACATGCAGAATGCAATTTGCATATAAGTTAAAAAGGTGCAGGCCCTGGAAAGTGAAAAACATGCACATGCCTAATCTGTGCTTTGTCATTTACAGAGAGGATTTTTGTATTCACGCAGATAATACAACACAGACGTGTGATATTCAGGGCTACCACATTATCTATAAAGTAGTCACATGCTCGGGCATAAAAACAAGTATTCCAGTGGTGCTGCAAAATAAAACCAAGAATCTTTTAGAAACATATTTTGTATCCCTAACTGTATTGTACACTACAAATAACCTCACAGTTTCTTGAAACATTTTTTCAAGTTACCTATTTGTTTTATTGCTCCTGTTTCATTTTGCTGCACAGTCGTTTTAAAACGAGTTAAAATGTGTTTTAAATCATACCTTACCTTGCACGACAGAAACATGGCTCAGGAACAGCTCCCTCCTTTCAGGGCGTCCACTTTAACTCTTCTGCAGTGGTGTCTCTGCTATGGTTCTGCACATAAAATGTTAGAGGACAGCAGTGCCTCACTTTGTTCCTGTTTTTTTAAAGAACGGGATTGATAATTTACTCTAATTTTAGACTTTGACTATTTTTGGCCAGAGTCAGTTGGATTAGATCAATTGAACCTTGTACCAGCAGCTTCATTCAACAGTCCTCATGAGCATAAATACTCTGCAGGGTTTTCATTCTTTCTACATCAACTCATGCATTTTACTCACTTCAAATTTGTATTGTATTGTATTTGTACCATTTCCCAGAGCATTTGTATCCTTGAAAGGTACTCCATCTAGTTGGCGCTAGATTTTTTTAAAAATTAATATTATACATTTCCATTCATCTTATTTATAGTGGTCTTAAATATTTTTTTTGCAGAGGTGCAATGATTTTCTAAAATTTGTTTGACATTATCACAGAAAGCTATACTAAGACCAAGTATATTGCCCCAAATTCCAGTCCAGAACTTTATCAAAAAAGTGTCAGAAAACATTTAATCTGTTTCAGTGTGAAACATGATTTTCCACTCAGTAAAATCAACCTCTTTGAAATTCAGATTTCAATGAAAATTAGTGAGCTCAACAGCAGATTCCCTCTAGCCTTTAGGCTAGGCTAAAGGTTGTATTACCCACATGTGCCTCCTGTACATCCCAGGTTGCCACATTGTGCCTAACTACGATTCACAAGGTCAGAGGGAGGCCAGCCTACGGGAGGCCAATATTTTAGTCTTCAGGAAACTGCACTTTGTGCCAATAAAGTGTATCAATCACTGGTATGAGTCTAAATCAGGGAGCCACTAACCAACCTCAGGCATTAAAACCGCACACACACATTCTGCGACGTTTATTTGTCCATTTCAGTCCTGTCTAGGCTGAGGTCTAAGCTGTGCTGGCGGAGCTGTCATTCCTAAGGACATGGTGCAGTTCTAACAAGGCAAAACTCCTCCCTCAAAGGTGTGATCAGTGTTCAATATGATTTTATTTCTAAGGTGTGATTCCTCTTTTTGTTGTAGTTTGGAGGGATAGACATTGCAGAACATTACCTTATGAAAAAGCATTTTGTTTCAAATATTACACAAGCACAGTTTCACAGTAGGTAATAGTTTATTTTCAGTACAACAGGAAATCACATTTGTATGCCACAGCTCTAAATTCATAAAAACTGTACTTACAGTATTTTTAAAGGCCTTACTTTGGTTGTATGATCATAATCAGATTTCAAAATGTTATTTGATGTGTACAGTTTCTTCAGTGCAGCAAGGAACAGGAATGTACTTTCCATTAATGGTGTTCTAGCTTGTCCAACTTAACTGGAATCCTGATGGCAAAGTCACATACTCAGCGTGGAATTTTATATAGATTTGGTGGGATGGAGCAGTGAAAGGTGCAATGTTAGTATCCTAAAATTAAACACAAAGAAATGGGTAAAACTTTTTAGAATCAAGATCTTGTGGCAAAGCCAAACATAGCACAGAAACTAAGGCACAGATAGGATCATAGGGTGGAAAGGACCTCAGGTCTGCACTAGATACTGCCCTTGCCTTCCACCCATGAGGTATTCAAAGGAAGCAGCGAAATTCAGGGGGAAAATCTTGCTGATGCCACCCACTAGATGTCACTGCAAGGTCTGCTTTGRGAGGCGTCTAGGGGGCCACAGGAGCCCTTTGCCTTCCCCTCTACGTCCCTGCACACAACCTGTGCCAGAACTGGGGACGCAATCTTAAATATGACACAAGAGCAGTTCGTCTTGCGATGACATTCGAGAAGTCTGAATGCAGGGGCACGCAGGGACTACTCACCGTGCCGCAGAACGGCCCGACGGACGGGTAGCTGGCGTCTGGCCCGCTGTACAGGAGGAGGTAGTTGCGGCTGCAGTCGCCGGGGTCGTCGATGCTGACGAAGTCGAAGCTCACGGTGACRCTTCGTCGCGTGGGCACCGTGAGGGTCCAGGCGCAGTCCGTGTTGTTGGGGTACGTTGCAGGGTAGCCGGGRCTCGCCACGGAGCCCGTGCTGCCGTACAGGGTTCCCCCACACCCTGCAAAGGGACACGTGCATTTAGCTCCAGAGCGCCCGCAACGGTGCGAGCGTTTGCCCTGAAAACACCGAGTGGCACCGCGGGCTGGAACAACGAAGGTGGATGTACGAGCACTATTCCAAAAGGAGGCAAAGCTGAGGCTCCAGCTTTAACACTCTCAGAGGAATATACAATATACATTAGGCCATGACTGACTATTAAAAGAAATAATAAAAATCCTGAAACTCCTTGGTGCAGGATCCAAATTTTTAAGTCAGACTTTGCTCAGATGACTGCCCAGCTACTCAGCTAGAGACAAATTATCTTGGGTTGTTTTGGAAAGATGAGTAGTGAAGAACCATCATGTAATAGAAAACCGCGAAGAACAGCTCAGATCAAACAATCTGCTACGGGAAAGCACAGGCCACCTCCACCAAAATTCAATCTCCAGCAGTGGGCAGAAGAAGATGCACCGACAGACAGGTCACTATATAGGGTATGAATAAGCATGTGGAGATCATTGCCCAGATTACTCTCAGTCTCCAGCACTTTCCAGCTTCCAGAGAGGGCATCTTTGTTTTCCCCAGTTTTTATCAGATTTGCCTTCSATGGATTTGTTCAGCTACCCCTCAAATGATTTGTAACATCATATGGACAGGAGGCCCACAGCTTCACTGCATGTCGTGTTAAAAACTGCTTCCGAAAGAAGACCTGTTAAAACCTGTATAAAACAGCTGGGTGGAATTACTTTGTTATTGTTTCCATACCACTTGATGACGAAGTCCACGTAATTTCATATCCATCACGAGCCACTGAAGCATCACTCTTGAAACGAAGGTAGACAACGTGGCTTCTGGGGAAGATGGGACTGGGCACAGTATTTCCACAGAACCTGCCAAGCAGTGGTGATCGCGCATCACTCCCATTCCTCACCTTCAAGGGATACAAGAAGCACTGTCAATGTTAAACGCCTGTACAAACTACACACCAGTAAATTTGTGCAGTTATAAAAGCACAACAAAAAGCTGTGCATGGACTTGCCTGCCTGCTATAATTGTCATCTTAATACTTTTATTTTTCCTCCTAGATACTGTCATGTAGAAGAAAAAGAGATGTAACTATGCTGAGCTTTGCAAGCAGCCCCACAGAACTACCATCATCACGGTAGCTAAATTTTACCATATGTTACATCTCTGTAATATGGATATTACATATTACTTGGTTACTTGGTGGCTAGGATGTGCTTTCAAATATAAGTCTATGTTTTACTTCTTTTAAGAAATGTTAATATTCCAGATGAGAAAATTAATACTTTGCCTTACAGRCTGCTCCTTTCCCTGGTCAATTAAGAGACAGATCATATTACATAGCTCAGAATTAATCTGATTTTTTTTCTGAGCTGTAATAATGACGATGTTCAGATCCATTGCCTAAGATGGGAAGGAGGATACAAAAGGAGAGCAGAGTAATTATTCTGCTGCAGACATCTGACTTTTSTAATCTGACTAAAGAATAGGGAAATCTTCAAGAACCATGAAAGAAGCAGTAAGAAGTGTGCAGGAGTCTACACTTCTCCTTGACATCAGGCGCCTTTGTACCTGTACCATGCACTTTGTACACTTTCTACTTCTGTCATGCACTTGTTACTACAGCTTATCTATCTGCTTTTTTTTTTTTTTTTAAGAAAAAAATAAAGTATATAGACTCTACTGCTGGAATGAAAATACTGACATTTATGGCTTACTGATCATACACAGATGTTAACATGAAATTAAAAGTGTCCTAGCTTGCTCTGTAGCGGCATAACAGCAGCAAGACCTAAGTGAAGATGAGTTAACTGATAATAAAACTACATATTTGTTTGGTTTAGACTTGCATATTCTTTACCCACTTACTGTAGTACTAGAGCACTCTCACCATAAAACCACAGCAGTAAATTAGTTCCTAATGTCAATTCAACTTAACCTTGATTGATACAATCCAATTAATGTCCTATGACTTCATCCGACTTTGATTCAGACCCAGGGAGTACATATAGTTGCTTGATACCTCTAAGAAGTCTTGGGAGCATTGGATGCTGTCCTGCAGACTGAAAGCATGGAAAAAGAGAGAAATTGTGTGATTCAGTGGAGCTCGCAGAACAACAGAACAGTCCATATCACTGGGGTGAGGACCAGGCCAGCCAGGGCTCTTCAGATAACCAAATGACTGGTTATACTCTCTGCTGCAACCTTAAAGAAAACAAATAAAAAAACAGAAACTCATAAGGATTTCAGAGCTCTGTGTTGTTTTTTACTATATGGAGTCTGTAAAKGAAATGGTTGGCAGATGTTTTAGACATTTCTCCAAGCTTACCTGCAGCTTGATAGGTAAATCTAACTCCATTGTTACTCATATATTCATCTGACTTGAAAGTCACAATGGCAGTCCGGTCGTAAGAATAAAACTCAGGGACAGAAAAGGTTTCAGTGCCACAGAATCTATGGGCTGATCCTTGGCTGTGCTGGAAGCAAACACGTCACAGTATCATTTAGTGATCTAACATGGCTTTCTGCTTACCAACTTCAGGTGAACAGATCTTCCAGCACTTACACCAGTTAYGCAGTCACATGCCAAAGTTCCCTCAGAAATCCCTTATTAATGTCTCCACATCTTGCAGTCAGTAGGATGAGACACAAGTCAAATGCAACAGTATTTTCATGGCAAGATGAGAAACAATGAAAGTAGGTAATGTAATGGATGCAGACCTTTTTTTTTTCCCCTGATGCCTTCTACAAAAATTTATTGGGATGACTATTCACTTTTATCAAGGTTGCTGGGTGGAAGCAAGTACAGTCAGTTTATGAGAACCTGCCCTTGGGCAGAACTTCCCGAGCGTTAAGTCTGGCATCTCTAGTGCTTGGTGCAACAGTAGGAATTTATGKCATACCAAGTCGAACTCTATGTGCATAATACACTGCCATGAAGTCAGGGCACCAGCGACCGAGTGTATCATGCTCTGCATGTACCCCCTCATCTAGAACAGTCAATGATTCAATTGCTAAGCAGTGGCCTTGTGTGAGGGGAGCTGGTTGTGGGCAGCTGTGAATAAAGCATAGTATCAACTGCAGATTTCCTACCGTGGGTGAGGCTTGGAGCTCTAGGTAGTTCTGAGAACAGTCTTGGTTGGAGTGGAGGTGGAAGGTCTCCACCACCAACCTGACCTGCTGCTGTGGAGGGGCATCAATGATCCACACACAGTGGGTAAACGGCGGATATTCATGTGGGAAGTTGGGTGATGTTGCAGTGAGGGAWGCAGAAGTTGCATTGTATGTTCCTCCACATAGTCCTGTTTAAAATAGTAATAAATGTATCAACRTTACAAACGGGGGAAAGGGGCTTACCTATTAAACAAAGCTACAGCAAACAGTATGCTTTTGTGCTTASCTGTASCTCTGTAGAGAAAAAAAGAGGTAAGTAGAAAACATTCTAATACCAGGCCTATGTATGTCTGGAAATGCAGATAAATGCTCTCTGTAGTATCAGGATATCCCTTGGCAGTGTTTGAGAGCCTGTTACTGTGTTACACTGTGGTCTGCCAGCCCCGCTGCAGCCAGAGGAGGCACGAGAGGGAGTCCCCCGGTGCTGCCCTGGGCTTGCTTACACAGACAGGCTCTGCAGAGCTTGCCTGAGGACTCTCTTCTCCCTTCCCTCGACCCTCTGTCTATAGTAAGTTTTCATGATTTCATGTTTAGGTAAATTTCTCCATAGGAGTCACAAAAATATATATGTAATGCGTATACACATAATACATAAATATAAATCTATATATACTTACGATCCACAGTGGTGTAGGTAGCATTGAAACCCTCTCTTTCCACAGAATTATCTGTGATAAATTTCACAGTCAAGAAATTACTGGTAGATAGAAAAGGAGCTGGCACCGAAAGTCCACAGTACGTGCCAACCAAATTGGCATTTTCATTATCTCCATCATATAGCTGAAGAGAGAAAAGTATTTCAAACACTAATATTTTTGGCACAACAAATAATCAGAAATCAAGTTCTCTGACTCTTCCCAGACATTACAATTTCTCTTACTTGAAATCACAGAAGGTGCTTTTGTGCTTTAACCGGATGTTGTTGATGGTCACAATTCTTCACCATCACATTAACTAATTCTGGTGGGTGGTGTAAATCCTATTATGGGACATTCTGATATCATTTTGGCAAATCAATCCAAAATTTATTCTGTTGTGATTGGTGTTTCTGCTTTCTTTTATTTTTGAGGTAGAAACTCAAACACTTTTCTATGAGATAGATTGTATTCACCAAAACGTAGAATTCTCTGCTGTTTGCATTGAGCATCTCTAATGCTCAGCTGGCTCCCGAGGCGTCTTCTGGATGGTTAAGAACTTGGTGGACCTTTTCTGGGAGCACTGCACTATGTATCCTCATTTTTATGTGCTCATCACTAGGAGAGCTTTCGGAGGCGAGCATTTCAGAGGTGATCGAGATTTATTTATTTAAAGTTTAACAAATACAAGTGTTTTCAAGCAATTTGGTATGATAATGAAATCTTCACGTTTACTTTGTGAGCGCTTCACTCTGGGTTGTTTAGATTCTGTGGATTACATACTCATTTATATAGGTGGTAGGAGAACAGCAGCTTGTCCCCCTAACAGTCAATGCCGAAACTCTCATTGGCTTCCAAAAAGGCAGGATCTCATGTACAGCAGCAATCTAACACACTGAAAAATTGTAACTATATTAAGTAATTGAATTTCCTCATAAAGCCATTTTCTAGTAATTAAGTTTTAATCTCATGGTCATGTTCTCATGGCTATGTTCTTGTTAAGATCCACAGCTCTCTTACCTTGACATAATCATATCGGCACGTTCGAGCAGACCGTCCTTCGAGGGCAAATGAAGTGAAGCTGAGGTGGATCAGCTTGTTTTCTGGTGCTACTATGATCCATACACATTCCAGATTTTTCTCATATCTTCCACCCATGGAGACTGGCGAGCCAAAGCTAGAAGCTGAATTTGTCAGGTAACCACCACAGCCATGCTGAGGTCCTGTTAAAGAAGCAGCTTTTTAAAAGCAATTCCTGGCATTCATGTAATATTCCAATATTGAATCTCCAGATAACAGGCTTTTTCCACATCAGAGAGTATTTCTAACCTATCTCACAAGGACTGTGAATGATTAATTGGAATGATTAAAATACTTAGAACACAAAGCAYTTTAGGGAGATATAGTTTACAATTAGATTTTGTAGAATTAATAAAGGCAAAACCCAGGACATACAGAATGAGTGATTTACTCCACAAATCTCTGGCCTTCTTTATTAACAACTTTGAAGCTAAAACTCTTATGAATAAAATGAATCCTGAGAAACAAAATGAAAATGTGATGGGTCAAGAGTGCATTTTTGCTTGCTTAGGAAGAGACTCCTTAAAGAAACTTGATTAGTGGAGGCTGAGCRGCAAATTATCACCATCCGGCTCATGTTTTTTTGTTGAGTATGAAACATGTACCTGCTTCACAAATGTAGCCTCAGTTGTTTGTTTGGTTGGTTTTTTTTTAAGAATGTAAGAAGTCAGAAGACATAAGTAGCAGAATAATGATTAGAAAGCATTTTAGTTTAATTCTTACCAACCACTAACAGTACTTGAACAGTAGGGGTCACTGAGTTGTTAACTTTCAAAATCCAGTTGAAAATCGAGTGGCTTTTTTGGGCAATACCACCCTGTTYCAGGGGCACTGAATTTAGCAGCCTSTATCTGGGACTCAGACCTTGCCTTTGGTCTTTGGACTTTGCTTTGGACCCTGAATTTGCGTTTTCTGACAGTGCTGAATTTTGTGGGAACTTGCAAGTGAACAAYCCCTCTGAAAGGGAGGTTGCTTTTTGCTAAGGTTTCCATGTGCAGAGCTAAATCCCTATCCATAGCTGCCCATTGTGAAAAGCTGAGGTCTATAATGTTTGCAGTTACACTGAAATCAGTGACTTTGCACAAGAACTATTACTCAGAATACAAAAACCCTGTTATTACATCTAATCACAATCAGACAAAACCCACAAACTACCTGAAAGGATTTTCTTTACTGCTTTCTAACCGTAGGCTCTCTCGGTCTCTATGGGGTTTCTTGGCTGGTTATTTGACTCAGGAATTCAAGAAAACGTGGGTCACACTCTGGCTTTTGGCTGAGTCTGATGAAAGTGCCTGCAGCGACTGCAGGCRGGCTGGTGTCCCCGCAGTGAGGGCTTGCAGAGCAGCTAAGCAGAAGATGCCTCAGCTGTGGAGAAGCAGCAGGGACAGAGCTTCAGAAGTTCATCTGCACCCTAAGACACGGCCACCACGCGCTGACTTCACCTTAACACGCTGGTGTATTCCTAGGCACAGAAAACTGAGTCCTGCCTACGCTCCAAAATTACAAAATACCTCTCTGGAGTAAAATCAGTGCCCAGTATCAGGATTGCATCAGTAACCACGGGTTGGAACAGCCCAGCCCTGCAACACTGTAATGGTTAAGCCAGAGTGACTAAGTATCACCCTGCTCTACTAACCCAASGCAGAAAAACTCCACCCTTAAAAGGAGATTTGTGAAACCCAAAATCTTAGTAATATGGGATTTAAGCCTTTGTTACAGCTAGAAATGAGCAGAAGAAGCTTGTTACAGGAATGAAGTGAGAAAGTCAGGATTGCAGTCCAGTTCTGTGGGCTGTCCTAGTAACAAAATCAGAAACTTGGAGAGGTGTTAGTGTAATTCTCATGCCACTGCAGAAGCTGAAAACAACAGCAAGGGAAATGTAACCAATAAATCATGTTCCTCCCAATATCCTAGGAGGAGGGAAAACATCAGGCAAGAGGGTGCCAACTCCACCAAGGGGCAATTTTGCTTTTTTTCTCTCTGGGCYGTCCATTCTGCGTGATTTATTCCAGCCTCTTAAAGTGTGGTTCTTGGAGCTATTTCCTGCTCACCATTTTGGACCTCTTCCATGCAATATACCATTAAGTACAGAATCATTAAGCTCCGGGCAAAGTCTGACCCTCCAGTCCCGCAATATCGCAGCACTCGTGATAATCGACTGGACTGTTCTATAGGTCAGACCATCTTACAGAGCTTCCCCTCCCCTTTCCTTAGCTAGAGTTGCAGGCATGCCAGCCAGAACATTGCAACCGGAGCTGGAGCATTGCCACAAGCAGTGCAACAGGAGAGGTTTCACTGCTGGTTAGCTCGGGGGGTTTTTTTGGATATCAAATGTTTGGATCGTTGCAATAGTGCATTTCATTGCTAGCCATGCAGCTAGGAAGGCAGCTCAGAAGACAGAAAATAGAGATGAGGGTGAGCCATGTACATACAGCACATAAAAGAGACCAGAAAGGGGAGAAAAAGGGCAAACACTCATTATAAGAAAAATCATTCTGGCTAGTTTAKCCGCAATGGCCTCTAAAAGGAGATAAATAAATAAAGGTACAGATTACAAGTAATAGATATGTGGTTTCACCATTAGCTTTCACAATGCTAGGCCTGCTCAGCCGGAGTTGAGTCAAATGGTAACAAGAAGATATCTAATCAATAACAGCTAGACTAGAAGCCAGCCAAGACACCCAATAGCCCTGCACTGGGCTAAATAAAAAGCAGCCCTTGCTGAAAAATCTATTCTTCCACCTTGGTATTTTTCAGTATTAATCACCATCACATCTGATTGCAGCCGCTAAGAGTTCCTGAGCAGCAAACCTATATAGGAACCCCCATAGAGTGAAGAAAGAACCAACTGCTTAACACGGGAGAACTCACTGTGGTACAGAACTCTTATCCTAGCCAGGATGTAATTCCTTGTTTTAAACATCACCATTGCTGGGTAGGAGGTCACATAGTAGCTGTCYAGCCCACCACCTTTGATATTCCTTGCTGGGTAGCAGAGCCAGAAAGATCATAGCTAAAATTTAGGCAGAATCTGGATGGAGAGTTCTCCTGGTTTATGGAACAGCCTCTTGGGAAAAGATGACCATTTCAGATATTAAAAGCTAACCTTGATCCAAATAATGAGAAAAGTGCTTTAAAGAACAATCTTTGTGTGGGCAGGTGGATGGACTGTGTGCCTGACGGTCTTGTTTCTCTCTCTGATTTCTTACTTTAAATAAAAATCATAAGGTCATCATAAATCAGATTGTCATCGTGTCCTCCTGATATAAGGCTTGCCAGGGAGTGCAAATTATTGGAGGAACYAGGGCACACAGTGTCACTATTAATTGTCTTTGTTTGAAAGCATCAGTGAAACTAAAAGGCTGAGGAACCATTCGGAAAGGAAGGAATTGAAGGTTCCCTATGGCAAATAAAAATAATTACAGCAGAGAGCAAGCACATGCTTCTCTGCTAGAGTTACATCCTCTAGAAATCAAACCAAGATGAAGATGAATCTTTAAAGCTGCTGTCTTTGAAGCACAGCCAGGGCAAGGATTATTTATACAGGTATAGACTCAATGCAAGGGAGCTCTAAATTGATCAGAAACTGATGGCCTTTCAAAACACAACACACTAATTTTGCTGTCCTTCTCTTCTTACTAAGCACAGCAAGCACTATAAAGGTCTACCAAAAGACAACACAACTCAAAGACCTGTTCTGGCTCTGCTTAAATAGAGCCAAAAAGCCTCTTTGGATTTGTGAACCACATCTGATCTCACCTAAATGCATCCCTGGGAACTCCAGGCTTATGTCTGAACTGAATTCAAAATCAGAGAAAGCCAGGATCAGCTCTGMCAAGATCAATGCCTCTTTCCTTAAAGGTCTTCAGAAAGTCCAGCATGAAGAAGAGGCTAGGCCAGGCTCTAGTACCTATCTCACTGCTCTGTGGGATCGTGGCTTCCAATAGCGTGACTCGGAGCCGCAGGGGAAACATAATTCATCTCATGGCTGATCGTGAAGGTGGGTCAATCTTCACCAGCCCAGATTTCCAGRTTGGAACTTGGTGTTGGAAACCACTTGGACATGGTCACTGCAGTGCCAGGCCTGGCAGCACCTGCAGCATTTCAGGGAGAGACTTCAAAAAGCACAGGGGGCTTTTCAGTCTCCAGTCTGGCCTTTAAACAGAAGAGGGTTTTGCCTTATCTGGTGGCATGGCAGTGGCACCAGCAGGGACATTTACAACTGCAAAACGTACATCTCCTGTGCAAGAAGGATATCACAAATGCAGCCGGTAGAAGTTCATATTCATAGTTCACTTCTCATATGAGTCCAAAGCTCATAGCGTTTCATGGCCCAATTCATATTTTGGACTACTGGCTCACCCCAGGTACAAGAGCCAGGGCTGTCACTCCAGCAAGAAGCTCTCTGCCAAGCTTGTCCTCTTCCTGCTCTACCTTAATAAACGTCTCATCCTATTYATCATCTTGATACTCATCTAGGAGACGAGGGGCAGACGCGCAGTCTGGCTTCATTCTAATACTTTCCTCAGAAAAATTGTTAACTGAATTAACATWTCTGTTGGCATTGCAAGTATCCAGGCCTTAGCTGATGTCTTTACAAAACGAACCTGAAACGTCTGCATTGCAGCACACATTTTCAATGGAGGAAGTTATTGACTTTAGGGAAGCAAAAGCAATTTAGGCCAGCAGAGATTTTTATCCACAGTTGTGTGAAGTGTCTTTATTCTCAACTTCTCACCATCTTTTAACCATTTAATCCCTGCAGATTAATCATTGTGTCTAAAAATTAAGCATTTTAACTGCTCATTTTTCTAGATCAGTCAGAAATTTCCTATTTAAAATGTCTAACTCTTTTCTTGTCCGTCCAGTTCTAGTATGCTGCACATCTATTTATTTTATGTCAGGGTAAGGAATGTCACAGACATGAAATAACTGCATCTCCAAGAGGCATATGTACACTGACCCTGAGTTCAACAGATGTGGGATTTTTTCAAGGATACTGAGGAGATGTTTTTTAACATTACAAATGCCTGCTAAATTTAATCAGATATCAAGCTGATGCATGCTGATGTATATTTTTTAGCTTATTAAAGTCACAGGATATTAACAAGCAGTCCTAGAAATTATTTTAGGAACACATATT